TTTTTTTTCAGTGAAAATTTAGGCGAGTGCAGTCCCGTTCGGAGGGTAAACACATCACATCATCGCGGAGAACAAAACCTGACAACCTTCATTTTACCACTATGCTCCGATGCGGCTAGTTTGCAAATTAGACCAGTGAAAACACTTAGAGTAACAGAAAGGTCCCTACTTTTAAGGTGCGATGTTGTCACTAGCAGAGTCTACTGTTTCATGTCTCGACTTACGGTTTCAAAGAAGTAAAAGGCAACTTTGCGGAATAGGAGCTAACGGCCGATTTTAAGGAAATGGCGGTAAGAATGTGAGTTTTACCCAATTCATTCCATTTTTCCTTTACAATTCCCAAACAAACGAATGTGAAAGAAGACGGGATTCAGATAAAAAAATTACTAATCATGTTGCAATAATGACACAGTCCCAATGGGGAAAAGACATACATTAAAAAATGACTGCCCTGCGTAGCATTTGGATGCGCCAAGAGGTCGGATCAACAGGTCGCTTCATTTTTTGCGGGGGAATTTCCTGGGAAAGAGCAAACATATAAACAGGGTATGAAGCAAAGTTCTGCATAAGCCTGACATATGTGGAAAAGTAGAACATCTACTTAAATTACGTAAGTCAGATTCGAACAAGTGGCACACATTTTAACGTGAGCTTTTTGTTTCCACACTGCTTAACTTTCTTCACCCCACTATGGGTTCCCTTCAAGTAATCTTGGGATCAGAGCATTTTTTAAGAAGATCGGAGGAATTTATGGAAGCATTGCGCTGAATTAATTTAATAAAAATAAGGAGACTTAGAAGGCGAACTTTGGGAAGGAAAGAAGAAGGAAAATCCGTTACTTTTTGCAATTGCATAATGCAAACGCCCAGTTTTCGCCTTATCAGCGATAAAGGAATTCAGTGATGCGACCGATCCGAACTTCCAGCCTACTACCTCGGGGTGAGCCTTCCATACGAGTTCCACTTCGTAACTCTTGCGGCAGTTGCCGGTATGGAACACATAAAAAACTTAGGAGAAAAATTTGAAGACCTAGCGAAATCGATGGTGACAGTTACAATTAGCGCTCACTACGGCTTATTTTTCGCATAAGTGTCTACTTATTAACTGGTAGTAGGTAAACAGGTGACAGTTTGACGTCGCGAAGGACGATATCCGTCGTATGCCCTACAGCACAATGGGCTCAGGGACAGCAACTTAAGTGTTAGGCTTGCAGAACATCTACCGCACTATTATGCGTCATCACAGAATTAAGAACCCAGAAGGCGGGATCAGGTGCAGTTGTTGTCAGAGCTAACCAACCCAACTACACATGTGAAACACGACTGGTCCACACAAAATGGACCGGGTTTCCATTGCAACAAGAAAGGGGCAGATCGGATCCCAACCGAGTAGCAATGCCGTAGAAATCACAGTTAGAAGGGGTCGTTACAGCCTGACTCTTCATTCTAGAAGAATTACTGATTTATCCGGTCAGCTGACGACCTTCAAAGCCACGACTTTTAAGGCAAAGAGACAGTCTAGAAGCGCGTCAGACTGTTTGAGATGAGGAGTATGCGTTGAATACAACAGGAACACAGTCCCCAGAAAAACAAAAATAGGAATAAAAATGGCCGCAATCTAAGAAACTACCCAGAAAATGCGAGGGCTTGTCTTGCCACAAACTGGCACGTCTATTGATACGGGCAAAAGAAAGGAGGCAATTCACAATTCAGGAGGGACATACCAATAAGTCTGTTTGCTGACTTTTTGGCGAAGAAGTGACTGTTGCACCTTTGTACGTATCCGGAGCAATTCTTTTCGAGTATAGCGCAGGCAATTCGGTGGGAGGGGCTTCAGGGGCTATTAACAGTGTGGAGAAAATGCAGAAACAAAGCGTGAAATGGACTACAAAAGAGACATCAATAGCGATCCTATGGATCATTGCGGGGCAGTAAAGGGCAGTGATCAGGAAAAGAAGCCTATCAAACGACGGCCAAAGACGTGTGGAAGCACCGTGTCGTGAGAATACACTCATGTAAGACAATTTTGAAGTGTTCCGAGTGGAGGACAGATAATTTATGGTGATCTTCGCTTGAGTGTTAGCACACGGGCTTAGGAAACAGTAATGTTAAGAAGTATGTCATGTATTTTAGTGGGCGTAGATGCGGCCACGAGTCAGCTTTCTGCCCTCAATGTAGCAGCGTCCCAGAAGACCCAAATACACATTACTATGGTCGACCTTCCAACCGTCTGTGAGGCAGCTGTACCCAGGAACCAAATATTGAGAATAAGAACAGAAGCCAAAGTTTGAATTTCGTTTTCCTGGATTCTTCCGAGCTCTGTGGTGATACGGTATATTTTCATTTTCAACAGATACAGTAAGTCTCCTTGTTTGTAGGACGAGGTAGGTTACCCTAGCTGTTGTGGGCTGGAAGAGGAGATAACGGCAGCTTCAACAACAGTATGTCAGATGTCTGTCCCTTACAAACTCACTTAGGCTGCGCAGTAAGGATGTAACCCATTATAACAGAGAAAGAAAGGATGAATGTGAAGTCCTACTACTTGGTTTGTCTGGAACGATAGAGAACTGGACGTGGAAGAAATCAGTAAAAAAATTGACTGTTGGGCCCGTTGACAGGCTTAAATGAGCGCATGCCATTGGCTGTAGTATTCACGTACTTGCTGGAAAAATACTTTGCCCTCCTTTTATAAACGCAGGCATACCTGTGGCGCTGGGGACTAATAATCAGGCCCTACATTGAGGTTAGATTTGGGAGTAGGCTGATGCTGTACAAGTTAGCTCATACAAGACCTAGAGCATAGCTCATAATTGGCCCAAAGTAGGTGTGCAGTCCTATACGTCTGCATCCCTTAAATGCAAGAAAAGGGGTCAGAAAGCTGAGGATGACTGATAGCAGAAAGGGTGGTAGAGAAATTCGGAGACTTTCACAAGCTACTAACGTCCATAATCAAACCTACGCCAATACCTTGACAAAACTTCTCCCCCAGCAGGCACCGCATTGTCTACATTCAATACTCTGAACTAGAAAACTGGCATCCCAAGAAGTATAATTTGGTAGAAGAAGTACCTTGGGAAACAGTGGTTTATTGGATGAATTTTCGATACTAGCGCACCAGATCGTCGTCCGACCGGTGGGAATTGAATTGTTTCGTACAATTCCTATCCATCTGACGAAGACCTGGTGAAAGTGTCGAAAATTCATCCAATAGACTGCCGTTTCCCAAAGTACTTCTTCTACTGAATTCAATACTTTGTTTGACTCCTAACGATGAAATCAAAGTAAAACAAAGCCTCGAGAGGAGTGACTTACGGTGGAAGAGTTGGGCGTAGGTTTCTTGGATCGGCCGTCTACCTTTGAACCAGCAGCATTAGGCAGCTCATTCTGCAGGCCGGAATCAAGTGTGATTACTGTTTGTAGTTGCCGCTGGCAGGACTTTTTGGCGTCCTCCACAGTCCGTTGGACAATTGTATCGAAAGACAACTTGGGTTGGGGTTTTTCAGCAGACTACAACGGGTAGTAGCGAAATGAAAGGATAAAATGAATCACAGAGTAAAAAAGGAAAACTTGAAGAAAAATAACAGATTAAGGCGGAGGGAGGGGGAGAGACGTTCTTTGAATACACTGATTTTAACCAGTCAAAGTGGAAAGATCTGAAAAGGGAACTGTACTTAGAAGTCCGTACACAGGAGATTCAAGACAAGAGTATTGTACACATTCCAGCCTGTACAGCAAACATCAGTGCTAAGTTATTTTATTATTTCTGAGTACAGCCTACGGGAAGCGATCTCGTGGCGAAATGAGAGAGTTCAACTCAAGGCTTTTTTGAGTGTGTCCCGATTCATAATCTGGGTCATTCCAGTCGGCACTTGATGCATGGCTGACCAACGATGTCAAGTAGGCCAGAAAGCCCTAAAGCAGTCAAACTTGTCTTTAAAGAAAGTCCCCTTAGTAAGGTAATTCTACAATCCCTGCTACTAGTGTTGTTGTCTGGATATGGCTACAGAATGTTAGTTCGTGAAGGTGAACAAAATTCCCAAATTCAGACCGGGGATGGGTAATGGCGTTTGTGTTTCAAATGCCATTGCAGCCCGATCTTCAGTCCCGAGAAGGGCTGAAGTACCTTGTCAGTTGGTAACTTTCCAAGCCATGACTGGCGGCGTGCCACGCTGGGCTGAAATGCGTCAGACTTATGATACTAAGGAGTGCAATGAATCACCATCAGAAAGAGTACCTCAGTATCTTCTCCGCCCTTTCCTATGCGCAAGCGGCCCGTCGGAAAGTCTAAGTTGACTGGTGATGACACTGGATATATGATTGGGAAAGTAAAGATAATAGAGCTTACGACTTCTAGTGATTGTAAAACTAGTTCCGTGATGTCCGGCATTGCAACAACGATCCGACAGTCCAATACGGAATGAGGAAACACGCTTGTGAGTTTCTTCGCAAGTAAATCAGGTTTTTGCCTAAATTGCACAATCAGTAGGTCGACTCGATAGGAAAATCGGAAGACGAGATGGGTGTCGTGGGCAATTGGACGCGTCTACAAGTAACAAATCCTGGAACGGCCTTGAATGAAATAAGCAGGCCTTCGAGTCTGCCAAATAAGCAGTTTCGGATTATTCCGTGGTATTACTACATGGTGATTGTCAACTACCGTCAAACACAATCTTGGAAACCGAACTGGTTGAGCCGAAGGTTGGATGGAGACAGTCAAGGGAGAGGAAAGTAGACCTCCATTAAGTTGGCAAAGACGAACGCCGATTATTGTGTCACCAGTTACCTACGTTTTGAGACGACTCGAAGATTATAATTCCAGTGCTTCGATTCGACACTCCGAGGAGAAATGATACTGCGTGCAAAACTGTAGTGTCCAATGTCAAAGATAGACCACGACTACTTGCATATGAGTGGCTTCAAAGTTGTGTCATGTTGGGCAGCAATACGGACCGTTCAGACATGGAAGGGCTCTTTTAGTAAAAAAACGCAAAGTACAATAGGCTATGTAGATTAATAAACACTAATTAAATGGGCTCCATACTATAGGGTCCACTGTATCATGAGTTATGACTTACAATATTGTGGTTACATTCGGTAAGGGAACGTCATCTAGACAACCGGTAGCATTTCCCGTATTCCCCGTGTAAATCCACTTATAGTTCGTTGAAATAATACTGAAAGTTTAATGGTAAGTAGTTACTTTTACAAAACCACGTATTATGCATTTTTAAGCACAAAAGAAAGCCTGCAGTTTCCGACTAGGACAATTTTTGTTATGCTCGCATAAATGTTCATGCGGGCTAATAGCGTGAAGTCTAGAAATGTCGCTAACAAAGTAAGTGAAGCCTAAACCTTACTACTTACTAGCATTTTAGTAGCATCAGGTACCTTTTCACGGAGAAATAAGGTTTAGAGAAAATACGCAACACGACCTTAGGGCACGAGTAAAAAGGCAGGATTTACGGGGACAGCCACTTATTGTAAATAAAAAATAGTGCTTTGCTTCAAATACAGAAGCTACAGGAGACATGATCGCGCATAAAAAGAACATAAAATCAAAATTGTGTACGTATTTTTTTAAAAAACGATACAAGACTCGAAAATGTAATAGAAAACATGAACATTGCATTAGCAGGAACTTTTTTCGGATGCGATAATTGCATATAACTGGAAGGGTCCTGAATAAAAAGGCATCTATGAAGTTAACCAAGATTATATTCTAAAAGAAAAAGAACTACGATCCAAATTAGAGTAATACTGTCTTCTTGAAGGCATGTTAACGGTTTCGTTCAGCAATGCATGACTTCAAGGACGGCGTTCTACTTTCGAAATAACACGAAATTTTCGTTTCGTACGCACATGCTTGAGGGGAATGGATGACATAACGCTCTTTTTCGGCAACTCCCGTACTTTTCATTTAAGAAAACCGACGAAGTAGAACGAAACCTTATACGCTTGAAGGTGTCTGTTTTTTGAAAAAAAACACAATTACAAGCAGCACGTTTTGCTGGAATTTTTTCAGACATCAGTCTGGGTCAAGGTAGTGTGGAAAAAAGAGCACACGAATAAAAGGATAATAAGGTCAACAAAAACCCGATGCCCCGATGATCCGACCAGTCACTCTTAGCGAATGGGTAAAGAACGCACACCTGCTTCTCTCTCGGAAAGAACAAAGAAACACACACAAAGAGCCGGTGGATTTACCATGGGAGCCCATTCATCCATAATGGCCTGCTCGGTTTGATCGATGTCGCTGAGCACGTCGC